ACCCTGGGGTATTTTAACAAAAAAGCAGCCAGGTGGGGACCGAAGTGAATCGTGGGGACCATTGCCAGGTCCCCATGGGTCCAAATGCATGTTACAGGTGTGGGGTTAGGTTTAGGACCAAGGTTTAGGTTAGTTTTAGGGTCAGGTAAGTTTCTGTGAGGTTAATTTTAGAGTATATGGTCAGGGTTAGGCTATAAAGTCTAAAAAACATGAATGGAAGTCAATGGAAGGTCCCCACGGGGTCAAGAAACAAACGTGTGTGTGTGAGAAAGACCATGTTTTCGCTACTTGGTAGGGACGGTTTTTCAGGAAATTGCAGACTTGTGGGGACCGAATGCTCAACTTTGGAGGCTGATTTTTAGTTTTTTTAGATTTAGGGTCGGGCATGTACTGGAGAGGTTATTTTTATGTTAAAGGGTCAGAGTTAAGCTATAGAAATGACCAATAAATGAATGTAAGTCAATGGAAAGACCCCACCAGGATAGAGAAACAAAGTGTGTGCGCGTGTTTGCTCTTAGACTTTAAGTTCTGCCACATTTTGCTGTGGGTTTCCTTCCACTGCAGCACCTTTTGATTTATTTAAGGTTTATTTTCTTCTTCCACCTGCCTCCTGAACGCAGGTCTGCGTTTGAGTCCATGCATACAGTGTGACACATTTTAAAGATCTACTTTATGCCATCTCACGTCAGCAGTGGCAGCTTGAAGCTACAGTAATAAATCTGTGTCTGAAGCCAAATGACATTTAGACCTACAGTGGAGCCATTGTTGTTGGTCAGCTACTATATCTAAGAGGCTGTTTCCACATAGGGTCTGAGCACATGTGCATACTGGGGTTTACATGTGTCAGTTTAAGACTGAATAAAGGAGCACAGGCCAAATTGTTTTTGTTATAGCTGAAGCTCTGCAAGATAGTAGGTTTCCTTTTCAAACAATTGTTCTTATGAATGAACTAAGCTGGGGCTAAAAACAAATGCAATGAATTGTTGTCGGATTTGAAGATAATTTAAAGCAGATGTTTTGTTATTTTGTACAGGTGTCTGGTATTTATGTTATCTGTTGTCTGAGTTTAACGCCTCATCAGGCGATTATGTAGCTTTTTATACACTGTAAAAGGCTGGTAATCGTGTGTTTGTCTGTTAGCAAAATACCTCACACACTAGCTGGATATTAATGAGCACCTCTGTTGATTAATTTATGGAGTTTGTCTGATTCAAGATGGCCATCAATCCCAGGAAGCACAATGAAGGCTATAACTCTGTCAATTTAGCAAAAATGGTCTTAAGTTTTCGTGTGATAGTAGGTGAGAGTCATTCTCATCATGTGTTTTGAGTTCTAACAAATTAAGAAAAAAATACTTAAAACTTTGTGAGGCTGTTGCTAACATGTAATATTTCTCCGAAGCCTTGTTCCATTCATAGTAAAAGCCAGACATTCTAGGAAGGTGGTGATAAAAATATATTCCCAAACTCAGTTGATAAAATAATCTTTTTAAAAGACACAAAATGAATTTTATTTTTGCTCCGTTTTCCTTTGCGAAGACGGAAAATGTTACCATTCGACAGCGAGCCTGCCACTCGCAGGATTGATAAGCGAATGCATATATTCAGAGGTAAACATGCTGTGTGAGTGGAAGCAAACACAGCGCATAAATAAACAAATTCTCTCTCTTTCATATACACCCACTGCTGCATGCATATCCACAAAACGCAGTACGACTTTTGGCTGCTTCGTAAAGTGTATTTCACCCTGACAATTATTGACAAGATTCATGGGAATGAGCGAATCGATTTGACAGGAAAGCATCAAGAGTTTTCAGACTTGCTGTTTTTGTCTGGCCTATTCAAGTGCAAGTGTGCATGTGTATATGTGTGTGTGAGGGGTGGCTGTGTAGTGTTTCCTGTGTCGCAGTTTACTGTTTTTTAGAGCAAGAAAAATGGGCTTATGTAACGGTCATGTGATTTAGCCAGAAATAGTGGTGGGGCTACAGCTGCTGCCTCTCCTCCTGCAGCTTGGTTCCTTGGCTTTTGGCAGCAGCCAGACAGACACACTGCGCACTACTCCCCGCTAGCTCTGAAAACAACTTCTGCTCAGTCCTGCAACACAAATACTAATTCTGCGCTGGAGATTGAAACAAAGCTAAATGCACAGAATGCTCTTGGAAGGGGAGTGGAGTGGTAGTGGGGGGGATTGCATGTAAACAAACAAGCTCTCACGCATGCAGTCAATGCCAGGCAGACTTTACTGAGTTAAGAAACAAACACGCAAACATGCAGAAATTTTTTTTTTTTGCAAACAGCTAATATTTTAAACTCATACCTAAAAGGCCTATCATTGGAGTGGGACAGAGGGGTCGCGGGTCACACGGTGGATGTATGTCCATATCTTTTTAAATGCAACATATCTAGGTCTTTTTTTGTATATTTGTGTGTAGATGTGTGTGTTCTCATTCATGTGTATATGTGAGTGGGAGAGTGAATGACTGCATGTGTGCAGAAGCCTGTCTGTGTGGGGGCGTACGGTGCTCAGAGGCCGGTGGACGTGTGGAAAAGGAGGGATTGAGACGCAGCTATAGAGAGGAAGACGAGTGGCGATGGAGGAGGAGGAGGAGGAGGGGAGCAGTACAGTGAAGAGCTAGTGGAGCGGAAGGAAGTGCTCTGAAATGGGAGATCATTGGGTTTCGCTGAGGGCTAGGCAGGAGGCAGGAGGGATTCTCGCCATGTTAGCATCACTGTCAGAAATAGTCGAGCTGCAGCCAGTGCCCTGGTTCCACCACATCCCTCATGCTATCTACTGTATGAGACACCAGTGGTAGCGCATTGTAGGCAATCACAGTAAACAATGGCTGACTCAGCATTCATGCAAAAATATAGCAAATTTTCTCCGTTTAGCTTTTAGTTAGCGTCCTGCTTCTTTTAGCCTCAACAACTCTGTTTCATCTCCTTCACCAAATTTCAGCAAAGTCATTCACACCTCAGCTTTCGTTTTTGCACGCAAGTCCCATGGCGTCTGACATGTCTCATCTTTCTACAGGCCAGCACAACTACCTGTGTGCTGGAAGAAATGACTGCATCATTGACAAGATCCGAAGGAAAAACTGTCCGGCATGTCGTGTACGGAAGTGCCTCCAGGCTGGGATGAACCTTGGAGGTGAGGGACCACCCACCCCCTCCCCACACACACAGTTTTCCTTTTTTTTTTCCCAAATGTGCTGTGTCACGTGCCTTCAGCCTCACATTTGGGTCAGCCTCGGTCTGTTTAGAAGAAGTGATGGATAAAGGTGGAGAAAGGGGGCTAGCTGTAAGCACAAGAGACGCAGGGATGCTGAGTCATGGTATACAGTATATTAGTATACTACATTTATACTTTTCTTTTTTTACATATTCTTTAGTTAATAGTGTGTCCTTGATATATATATATATATAT